TCTATCTATCTATCTATCTATCTATCTATCTATCTATCTATCTATCTTCATAGGACTTCAGCACGCAGTCCTTCACGTGCTGAAGGACTGCGCTGGCGAATTAGCAGAGGTGTACTCTGACATCTACAACACCTCACTGAGCCAGGCTGTGGTCCCCACGTGCTTCAAAACCACCACCATAATCCCTGTCCCCAAGAAAACGTCTCCCTCCTGCTTCAACGACTACCGCCCGGTTGCACTCACTTCCATCCTCATGAAGTGCTTCGAGCGACTAGTCATGCAACACATTAGGTCCTCCCTCCCCCCCTCCCTGGACCCCTACCAGTTTGCATATCGGTCAAACCGCTCGACTGATGATGCCGTCGCCACTGCTCTTCATTCAGCCCTCACACATCTGGACAAGAAAGACTTCTATGTCAGAATGCTCTTCATCGACTTCAGTTCTGCATTCAACACAATCATTCCACAACAACTCATCTGGAAACTGGACAGTCTGGGTCTGAACACATCACTGTGCAACTGGCTGCTTGACTTCCTTACCGGAAGACCACAGGCAGTACGGGTTGGCAGCAACACATCCAGCATCATCACTCTGAACACGGGGGCCCCACAAGGATGTGTGCTGAGCCCCCTTCTGTTCACTCTACTAACCTACGACTGCTCTCCATCACACCCCTCCAACCTCTTCATCAAGTTTGCGGACGACACGACTGTGGTAGGCCTCATCAGCAACAACGACGAGTCACTCTACAGGAGCGAGGTGAGCCGGCTGGTCTCCTGGTGCAAACGCAACAATCTCTTGCTGAACACAGAGAAGACCAAGGAGATTGTTGTGGACTTCAGGAGAACTCAGACAAAACATGCTCCACTATCCATCAACGGTGTTGTTGTGGAAAGGGTGAGCAGCACCAAGTTTCTGGGTGTGCACATCTCTGAGGACCTCTCCTGGACCATCAACACAGCAGCAGTGGCCAAAAAGGCTCACCAACGGCTCTACTTCCTCCGCAAGCTGAGAAGAGCGAGAGCCCCCACCCCCATTATGACAACCTTCTACAGGGGGGCCATCGAGAGCATCCTGATGAGCTGCTCCACTGTGTGGTACGGGGCCTGCACAGCATCCTGCCGCAAATCCCTCCAGCGGATCGTGAGGACAGCTGAGAAGATCATTGGCACCTCTCTCCCCTGCCTTCAGGACCTCCACAGCTCTCGCCTCAGAAGGAAAGCCCTCTGCTGGGTGGGAGATCTTGACCACCCGCTACACTGCTTCTTCAACCTGCTGCCATTAGGGCGGAGACTGCGTAGCCTCAGTTCTAGGACCAGCAGACTGTGGAACAGCTCCGTCCAT